CAGCAGTAACCTCTGCAGCAAGGCAGGTGCTTCACGCTCCGTGTCGTTGGCTCCTAACGATTTAGTTCGTTTGCAGAAAAAGACGGTCCCTCATCCCCTGGTAAGAAGTCAACACTCAGTGGGTAGCCAATGCTTCCCCAGTAGAAGAGAGTACCATTCCTTGAACACGCAAACGGATTTCTCCATCAGACTTCCCAAGGCTCTCATTGATGACAGGTTTAGACGACTGAATATATTGCAGGATCTTCTTCGCATGGAATTGGAACGGGAGGCCATTGAGGACTGGCAAGTTCTGCGGGATGAGTTCATAAGGTTGGGCTGTAAACCGATGGAAGTAAAGCAGCTGGGACGCAATCTGCGATGCGAAGCTGGCGATTTGGAGGGCCGTGCAGGAGCGACGGTGGAAATTTCCAATTGGGAGAGAGAAAAACGTCGCCAAGAGAGAAGATTTTGGGCACTGGAGCTTCACAACCAACAAGTGGACACGGTAGGGTCATCTTCTACTGTACGATAAAATCTTCTCCCCAAAGCATTCTGCAGGAAGATTGAGCGTAAACGCACACATTTCTCTAGAGGTAGACATATATATGCGTTTACGGGTAAAGAAGCATTGGCGAGTTGAGGCGGGAAAAAGAAGATAAATGTTTTTTTTTTCTGTTGTTTGCTTGTTACTTGTGGAGTTTGTTAATTATTTTCTTTGTTCTCACTAGCTTTTTTTTTGCCGTTATTTTTCCATTCATTTTGTTAATTTCATTTGGGGCTTTTTTGTCTTTGCTGTGAGGGAGGGATGCGTGGTTCAGTTATGTTCTTGCGTGCAAGCCGTCCTCTTTTAGAGAAGGCAACTTCAACGTTGCGGCATGCTGTTGAGGTTGCATATGCGTCCGGTATATTGGGACCCGTTCCCCGCAGTCTCAAAGGGGCGTTTGAGGCCGATGCCTTTGCGCCGACCTTCGTGGCTGACCCGATGAGGCCACGACAACAAATTGGCATGGACGGCAGTGATTACTGTAATGAGAGGGCGCGTGATCGGATCCGTTTTGCCTCTCGCTGTGCGGAAGAAGCGAGCGTTGCGGCATCGTCATTGGCGGTGTCGATTGCCCACGTGGAGGGGGTTGTGCGACGTGTGGAGTGCGGTAGCGTTGATGCCGATACGGTTCTGCAGCTGATCCTAGAGCTGGAGGAGGGAAACGAGCGAATTCCATTCGCGGCCCGGTGGCGCCCGGCTTGCAGCGAGAGCCTGCGGGGGCTTAAGAACGGTAAATATGTGGCGGATGCGAAGCAGCGACTTGAGGGGAAGCGAGTGGTTTTGAGCGGGAGGCTGCAGGTGGAGGAGCGGTACGACCTGCACAGCAACATGCTGCACAAGGTGCCAACCCTCATTTTGCCTTCAACGCCGTCTCTTGAGGGAAGCTGTTTGTCTGTTCTTGCCGACTGAGAATTGTCGTGTTTCTTCGACAAGGTGAGTGAGGAGTTGAGGCCGAGTTTTCTTGTTTACTGTTGTGCTTTGCGTTTCTTTTTTCCCCATGTGCGTTGCCGCCTCTTTGCCTTTTTATTATTATTATTATTTCCCACACACACACACACACACACACACCGTGAGCCGCACGGTGCATAGAGTCAAGGATCATTCCAGCAGCAGCACCCCCCGACGCGCGGCGTGGTGAAGCGAGAGGAAAACCTTTCTAACATTAAATTAAGGGTATAAAAGAGAGGTGGCGGTGGTGGTGCGTTCCGTTTTTTTGTTTGCTTGTTTGTTTCTTCTCACAAGAATGTTTTTTCGTACTTGTTGTCGTCTGATGGTGCGGCCGACAGCCCTGCAGCGATGCAAAAGCGTCAACAGTGTGACTTTAGTTGGTGTGGTACACGACATCCAGAGCGGGTTTGTCTACGAGGACGCCGTCACCCAGTTCACTCTCACAACGACAAGTATTGACACAACGCACCCGACGCAGGAAGTCGTGGTGGAGAAGGATCATCACACGATCCGCTGCTTCGGGGAACTCTTTTCTGCGGAGGTGAAGCAGAAGGTTAAAGAAGGGAATGTCGTCTGCGTCAATGGGCGCCTGCGGCTCAGCCCGCAGCTTGAGCCGTCATGCAATAAACATTTCTACTTTCCGTATATTCAGGTTCAGCCCCCGCATGGTCAGGTGGCTGTTATTCACGGTGATAGGAGAAATACGCCGGCTTCTGTGAATCCGACAGCTGAAGAAATCCCTGCGGAAAGCGAGAGTGGCACCACCAGCAAAACATCTTAGCGTAACACGACTGCTAGTTTGTGCCTCGGGAGGCTTATTTACAGAGAGAGATATAAATATAAGGGTTAGGGTCCGAAAAGAGTGACTGGGAGAGAAAAAGATTGTGCTTCTGTGTTTCTTGGAAAAGGTGATGGGAGAGGCAGTGCATGAAGAATCGATTGTTGGGGAGCTCCGTTCGTATTTTCTCCGTTGTTACCGTGACGAAGCGCCAGGTGTGTGTGTGTGGGGGGGGGTGACACTTTTTTTTTATGGTGGGGGGTCATTGCCCGCATTTCTTTCCCGTTCCTTTTTTTTTTGCCTTTCCTCTATTGTCGAACCAAAGAAGGGTTAAAGGAGTGTAAGTGGACGGGTCTGCTCCTCCCCCTCTCCCTCAAAGAACAGAAAGAAGAGACGAAGGTGGATATATCTATATAAAGTAGCGGAACGGAAGGCTCATCACTGCCGTGCTGCCCATGAAGCCGCAATCTGTTACTTTGAGGGAGCAGACGGTTTTGGAGCGGACAAAGGCAGAGAGCCTGTCGGCGGTGCGAAACCTCAATCTGTGGGGTGAGGGATTTACGGACGTGACGATTGTTGAGAGGATTCCTGGCATCGAGGTGCTTGCATTGGCGGCCAATCAGCTAACTACACTGCGTCCCTTTGCTTCGTGCACATCGCTGCGGGAGTTGTATCTGCGGAAGAACGACATTAAATCCCTCGCAGAGGTAAAATACATCAAGGACCTCCCGAACCTGCGCACACTCTGGCTCATGGATAACCCTTGTGCAAAGAGCAGTCACTACCGCAGTTTTGTTCTTCGGTGCTGTCCGAATCTGAAGCAGCTGGACAATATTGAGGTCACCGAGACGGAGCGGGAGGAGGCGAAAAAGAAACTTTCGGAAGAGGATGTAAAACACATTTTAGAGCACGGAACTGTCGCGGAAGCAGATCTGAGCAACAAGCGGCAGCAGCCAAATTCTTCAGCCGTGTCAAAGGCCGTGGAAAAGGGGTCCCTCGCGAGCGTAGGCGGGCAGCCCAGCCAATATGGGAGGACGAAGGAAAAAGAAAAGGAACCGAGGCAGGGTGGAAATTGGGCCAATGACGCGCCGAGGGAGTCGAGTTGCACACCCACATCCAACGGTGTTCCGTACACAACGGTTAAAACTCAACAGGCAATTATTACCGCCATCGTGTCGCTCATACCTGAACTGACACTGGGGTCCCTGGGAGTGCTGCAAAAGGAGATTAAAGACGAGGTAGTTCGGAAGGAAAAGGCTGTCCGGAATCGCTCAAATTGCCCACAGTAGTGCAGCGCTTGGCCTAAGTTTTAATATGCATTTGTTTGTGTGTATATTTTTTTTCCTTCACCATTACAATTGCGTTTCTTCCCCTCTTCCACGGGCGGCTGCGTCTGTGCTGCCAAACAAAATATGTTGCTGGTTGTGTGGATTGTTCCCCCGAGTAAACACTGTGTGGTGTGTGTGCCCTCTTTTTCCCACTTCATTTTTTTTTTCCCTGCTTTTTTTTGGACGCGCGGGAGCAGCTGAAGACGCCAAACCCCCTTTTTATCCCATCAAGACTTCTCTCTCTTCTTGTTCCTTTTTCTCTCTCTCTTTTTTTTATTTGTGTTCCAGTCGTCGTGTTTAGTTGCAAGCAGAAGGAGGAGCGAGTTTTCGTTTTTGTTGTTTGTTTTTTCGTTTGTGTGTTTTGCGTCTATTACTGTTGGGCGTGGGGAGGTCCGAAGTAAAGACGGCTGGCCCGCATCTGTGTGTTGGGGAGGCGGGGGGAAATTAAAGAGGAGCATCGGGGGCACGCCCAGCGCGTCTGTAGGGAGGAGCCGTGCCGGGGGAGTGGCCGTGTGTGTGTGTGTGTGTGTGCGACAGGTTGGCGGACGGGGGTTCATAACAACCAAAAGAAAAACAAGGAAAAAAGGCGTTAAAGCTTTTTGTTGTTTGCGAAAATAAAACAAAAAGGATTCAAAAAAAGAAAATACAAAAGGAAATAGAAAAAGAAAAAGAAAAAAGGTGGGTGGGAGGTGAGAAGAAAGAGCAACAAAAATAAGAAAAGAAAATGTCATCTGAAATAGAACCGCATATTCTCCGCAAATATGAGATTCAGGCGCAGTTAGGACAGGGGGCGTACGGCATCGTTTGGCGTGCGTCCGACCGCCGCACCCATCAGGTAGTCGCCCTAAAGAAAATATACGATGCGTTTCAAAACGCAACCGACGCACAGCGCACATTTCGTGAGATTATGTTTTTGCAGGCCCTTAGCCACCCGAACATAATAAAACTGCTGCATGTTCACCGTGCCACTAACGATAAAGATATTTACCTTGTCTTTGAGTATATGGAGACAGACCTGCATGTTGTTATCCGTGCCAACATTCTTGAGGATATCCACAAACAGTTTATTATTTATCAACTACTGAAAACGTTGAAGTACCTCCATTCTGCGGAGTTGCTACACCGCGATATGAAGCCATCAAATCTTTTGGTCAACAGCGACTGCTCAATGAAGGTTGCGGATTTTGGATTAGCGCGGTCAATTCTCTCTCTGGAGAAGGAACAAGTGGCTCGCCCCGCCCTCACGGATTACATCATGACCCGTTGGTATCGACCGCCAGAGATCCTACTGGGCTCGACACGCTATACAAAGGGGGTGGACATGTGGGCTGTAGGATGTATTCTTGCTGAGCTCCTTCTTGGAAGACCCATATTCCCTGGGCGTACAACAATAAAGCAGCTGGAGCTTATCATCAATGTTCTTGGCGAACCGACACCAGAGGATATTGCGTCGACAAACTCCCAGTTTGCGGAGGCGATGATGAAGGACATTCGACGCACACATACGGCGACTTTTGCGGAGTTGCTTCCTAAAGCCTCGCCGGACGCACTTGACTTGGTGCAAAAACTTATGCGATTCAACCCCAATGAGCGCCTCACCGCAGAGCAGGCGTTGGAGCATCCATATGTGGCTGCTTTTCACAAGGTGCAGGACGAGCCCTCGGCACCTGCGCCAGTAACCATCTCGCTTCCAGATGACACACGCTTTACCATGCAGGAATACCGTGAGCGTCTCTACCAGGAGATTGCAAACGCAAGAAGAAGAGTCCGCCGAGAGGCGGCCGCAGCCTTATCTTCAAAGAACGAGTCTGGCGGCGTGGTGACTCGGGCGCATCCGCCCCCCTCCGCTGCGGCCCCCGTGGCGGAAGAGAGACGGGAAAAAGTCCGTGACGCGGCAGTCACACACACATCGTCTTCGACTGCTGCTCGGCCCAATTCTTCGACCGCAACACGTACGGCGTTGGCGAATGGGGCCAGTCGAACGACTCTTGCAAGTAGAACTTCCGACGCGACGCGGCCTGCGCATCATACTCGGCCTGTTGTTTCACGTCATGGGCTTAATGGTTCACGAACCATGCAAAAGTAGGGGATACTCAACGGACGACATATTAGTATTTGGAGAGAAATAAACGAGGAGAGAAAAGGAGCAACGAAAGAAGGGGAGGAGTGGAAGGGTATGAAGTGCAAATTCTAAAAGGATGCCGCAATAGGTGGGCAATTAGCGACCCACCTGGCATGAATGCATGTTTAAGTAGAGGCGCCTCCTCACTTTCTTGGGTCGTTTTTTTTTTCTCTCTCTCTGTTGTTTTTATTGCTGGTATTTTGCTTTGCTTGTTGTTGGTGTTTCAGAATCTCCATTTTTTATGCTGTTTCCTGTGAGTGGCGCAAAAAAAGAAGAAAAAAAACGAAACATAAATATTTAGTTAGTTGTTTTTTGTTGTTGTTGTTGTTGTTTTCTCCCCCTATTTGAGTGGCTGGAGGAATCCCACGGGGAGTGTGTGGAGAAGCAAGTTTGTGTTTAAACCCGTCACTGGAAGTCTGTTCCTTTTTATCCCTGTCCGCGCGTGTGGGCTAATCCGATGGCGGTGTGAAATATATATATATATATATTAGAGAAA